TCCCCCCACCTACAATCCCTGCTGGTACGAGACTCGAACCCGCAACCTTTGGGTTACGAGTCCGACTCTCTAACCATTAGGCCATGACTTCCCCAAAAGTCGTGGGGAAAGTTAATAAAAATATGTAATTTAAAATACATAATATAATTTAAATGTAAATTTATATTAGATTAAATAAGATAATCAAAATCAATTTAGAAGTAGAAATTATGCCTTTTAGAAGAGAACACAATGCATTTATATAAATTATATTTACAGTGAAAATATATAGATAATACTGCACATGTAATTTTACACTTTTACTGTGAAAGCCAAAATATATAATTATAAAATCTAAAAATTATATTAGATTTAACAAGATAATACAAATTTTACTTTAAGTAGAAATTAGCCTTTTAAAAGTAAAAAAAAAAAAAAAAAAAAAAAAATATAAATTACCTTATAATTTAATTAATTTGCTTTCTAAAAAAGTATAACATTAATTCCCTTATTATTTATAGAAAATTAGTATATTTAACAAGTAGATGTGTTTCTGGTAAAACTGAACGGTACGATTAAGGAAAGTTGTTGTTGAAATTGTACACAGTAGGCTTATTAATATTGTTAATTAACATTAACATGGTGGCCAAAGGAGATCCTGTAATGCACAAAATAAAACGTTCAGATTGTATTTGTAACACGTAACATGAAAAATCTTTCACACTAACTGTCCAGTGTAAGAGTGAGTGTGTGTGAATGAAGCACACAGAGATGGAGACGTTCACTCATGCGTGAGCAGGGTTTGTTGTGTAACGACTCGTCTGAGATGTAGGGCAGCTCTCAGCCGCGGGCCGCTAAACACACCGCAGTGCTACGAAAGCACCAGAAACTCACCAGATCTGAGAGAAACACTGAGGTGAGACTGACCTGAAGATGTTCACGGCGCTCGTCTCTCGTCAGCGGCGGATAGACGCTCGGCATGCTGGGAAAACACAAACACAGAGCGAGAGAGTCAACGTCACGCGTCACCAAAGCAGAAACCACCACAACACTGCGCTCGGTGAGCTAGAAATTAATTAAATTAATTTAAACCAAAAATAATTCAAACAAAAATGTATATAATTAAAAAAAAAATAATAATTATTATATTATATATTAAAAATATAATATTATGTTAAATATTATATATAATAATATATAAAAGAAACGCGAAAAAATTATAAGTAAT